GTCCTTCCTTCCGCCGGAGGGCCAGCCCCGCCCCTCCAGAGCGCCCTCGAGTCTAAGACTGGGGGCGGCCCGGCCTGAGGCCCGCGGGGCACGCCGATGGCGGTGGCCCAGGCTGGTCGCGGCTTCTGCGGTAGGAAGGGCAAGGTGGGGGCGGGAAGCAGGGCACCTGGCGAGGGTCATGGGTGCCGCGAGGCCGTGTGCAAACACCACAGAGTGGGTCTGCAGTCGATTACACCCTGAGAGGCAGTGCCGTGAGCGCAGCGACAGTGAGCAGGGCCACCGGCGAAGTCATGGAGGCCGAGCCGAGGGGACGGGGTGTTGGGGATGGCCCCAGGCTTCTGGGGCACTACTGAGCACCGTGTGAGACTGGGCGCTGCAAGCCAGTCTGCACTGACTTCTCCTGCCTGCAGGCAGAATGTATACGCTGCTGTCGGGCTTGTACAAGTACATGTTCCAGAAGGACGAGTATTGCATCCTGATTCTGGGCCTGGACAATGCTGGGAAGACGGTAAGTACCTGGCCCCTGCCATGCTTCCCCGGAATCCATCTGCAGTTCCATGTTCAGGGCCCAGGATCCCAACTGCCAGCTTTGTGAAAGGCAGGGTGTCGCTACTTGTTTCTGTTACTGTTTTCTAAGAAACAGGCCCAAACAGGGGTATTTGGTAAAGCACTTGAGCCCCTTCCTGATGCACATACTCCCTCTCTCCTCAGACCTTCCTGGAGCAGTCGAAAACCCGCTTTAACAAGAACTACAAGGGCATGAGTCTATCCAAGATCACCACTACCGTGGGTCTAAACAGTAAGGGGGAACTTTGGGGCTGCGGGTTTGGGGCCCTGAGGATGCTGTGATGTCCACAGCCCAACAGCCAGCAGCCAGAGACCTGTCAGGCCTCTGCTCAGGGCAAGCCCTTATCGAGTGGCCTCAGAGTGGTGGGCTATTCCCCGGGGAGCTGGGACTTGGTGTGTCAAAGATCAAGTTTATGAGCCTTGCCTGTTCTCTCCTCTCCCCAGTTGGCACCGTGGATGTGGGGAAGGCTCGCCTCATGTTCTGGGACTTAGGGGGGCAGGAAGAGCTGCAGTCTTTGTGGGACAAGGTAAGACATGCTGTGTGCTCCCCGGCTTACACTATGTTCCCTGCCTGCCACTTCTCTCCAGGCAGCACCTGTGGTTTCTTCCTCAGCAACCTCCACCACCCACTGTGTTCCTGAGGCATTTCTCTCCCATCCTATCTCAGCTTCCTGAGTTGCTCCCAGTTTTGTGTTAGCTGAACCCTTGACTGGAATTGCCCCAACAGTGGTGTCAGGGGAGCTCCCACAAGGAAGAGCCCCAAACCCTCTGGAGATGGCCTATTGGGATTCCTGGGAAAGAATCACTGAACACCAGGGTGATTAGGTCAACATTTTTATTAGGGGACTTGTTCACAGAGGGGGTTGCAGCATATTCTCGGGGGCAGCGAGAGAAAAGGATATCCTATGCAGGTGCGTGCAAAGCACGGGATCAGGACATGGAGTTTGTATGAGGGTCCAAGGAAGTTGGGTCAGGGCTAGGGCTAGATTCTTTCCATGTCTTGAGTAACATTAACACTTTTATGAGGGCCTAGAATGTTCAAACCCCCAACTTGGGCTTGAGCCACAGGGAAAAGCATGTAGTTGGCCAAGTCACAGAGTGGTCAAGGCACTTTGGGTTAGTTTCTCAGGACAAGAGAAAAAATGTGGGACCTGGGAGACTCTATGCTTCCCCCAGAATAAGACTACACTTACTTCCACTCAGTGTAGAGTTATGATCACCACAGGACGTGAGCAGAAATGGCAAAGGCCTGATGTGGGAAGGTACACAGCTACGTTTCCTTTGACAGTCCCTCCACAGTTCTGGCTTCACACCCACTCTTGCTCTTTGTGAAGGCTTCCTCCCCAGCACAGGAGAGTATCCTCAGGGCCAATGGTAACTGTTTCCTTCTGACGTGGATTTTGGACATTTTTGGGGACTCAGTGTGGTGCCCTTCCTCCACACCCCCAAGCTGGAGTCTTTCTTACCTCAGCCTATGCCAGGCACAGGTCCAGCATGGCGCAGTGCTGACCTAGCCCCTGCCCCACAGGTGGGCACACTGGACGTGAGGCAGTCCGGTGCCTGCCTGCTGCCCTGCTTTGGGAACTGGGTGCCTTGTTCCTTTCCTTAGCCCCACCAGAGCGTCCCTTCCTGCCCTGACTCCTAGCCAAGGGGCGGCATCTCTCTCATGTCACATCTCTGACAGATCCTTTGTGGCCACATCAGACAGGACAACAGACAGGACAAGTCAAGTCAGAGCCTGGTTGTCTAGATGCCTAGCATACATGGGGAATTCTTGTCACAGTCTAGGGTCTCACACAGATGCTGAGACAGGTTGGGATATAAGGTGTGTATTGGGCACCAGGAAGGCAGCAGAGGCAGGGTGGGGAAGTCAACTCAGGCAGTGGAGCCTGCAGGGCTGTGGGTGGCCTAGGGAGCATGGGGGGAGAGCTGCTAGTTATGGCTATGCCACTTCCAGCCAAGCTGGCCAGGGCTTCCAACTGCCACTTGCACACAGCTTGTGCAGCCTGGGACATGTGTGACCCAGTAAGGTGGTTCTCAGCCAAAGCAAGCCCCACTGGAGCCAAAATGAGGCCTCCCCTGGACACGCTGCCTACCACCTGCAGCGGGGCCACCGCAGGGCCACCTGTGCACTACTGGGCCCCAGGATCCCGTGTCAGGAGAGGACCTCTCCTGAGGGGAAGCTGGAGGAGGGAGTCAAGGGGCTGTAGCCTGTCCTTGCAGCTACACCATTAACAGACCTTAATGAGGTCTTAAGCCTCATTCTTCCTGAGGACCCCCGTCCTGCTAGGTGTGACCTCCCAGCAGAGCCCTTCTCTAGGCCTACCTCAGTGGGCTGGTGGTTCCCTGGGCCCCACTGTGTGGTGGCAGTCCTGCATGCTGCCCTCTAAGTCTTCTGATCATGTGGAGCCCAGTATGCCCACAAGGCAGCTGCTGAGTGTATTATTCTTTGGTGGTCAGGACCCCCGACTCTGCCAAGCCCAGAGCTGTTTGAACAGGCAGCAGAACCCCCTTATGGGTCACCGCGAGGGACAGAGGAGGCTCCTGTTCCCACCCTGGTTCCCGGACTCTGCATCCTTGGGAGCCCAGTGCCCCAGAAGGGTCTCCAGTTGGGAGAGTTGGCCTTGTCATGGGACCCCAGCAGTGCTGTTTCCAGTGGACATGGCCGCCAGTCAGCCCTGGGTCAGCATGCGTGGTTATGGCAGGTGCCTGGACATCAGGCCTTGGGGCCTTTACTGTAACATGAGTCTTAGGATGATGTGGTGTCATGTGGAACCCCGGCTGGCACCTTGCCTTTGGGGAGCTCCTATTGCTACTGGGGACACATTTAGACCCAGTCTGGGGTCCCTCTGGTCCCTCTGGTTGCCCCACTGGGTTCAGCCATGCTACCATTCAGCCAGGAACTTGTGGTCCCACCAGTGGTCCCACCAGCCTTGGTGAATAAAGCCCATCCACTGGCCTGTGCTCTGCCACCGTGTCTGCTATGTGTATGTCCATGTCCACCTGAGGTATTGATCTCCAGTATCTGCTGGTGGACCTTGAGACAGGACTCAGGGCTTTCCTCCCTGTGTCTGTTGTTTGCGTCCCTGGTCCTTCTGGCACCACTCTGTGCCCACAAGCCTACACATGCCAGCCTCAGGCCTTGACTATGTGCACAGGCGGGCCACCTGGTGTTCTGGCCACAGGGAAGACATCCCCTGGCCTCTGGCCACTGGTAAGCCACCAGCCATGCATGGGCTTTCCCTCTTTCCACTGGCTGGAGTTCCTCCACCGGGGTCTGGGGCCTCCTAGTCTTGCTCACATGTACCCCCATGTGCTGCTCATCTTCTATGGCCCCTTCTGGGCTGTCCACCTTATGCCTGGTTGGTGTCATGGCCAGCTCTGGCCACTTGGTGCCCTGGTCCAGGGCCCAGTAATGTGAAGTTCTCTGTCACCCAGTTCAGGATCCATAGGGGTAATGTGGCGACTGTCTCACGGGCTTGCTGCCGACCTGGTGCCATGCAGGCCTCCAGCTAGGGCCTGCCAGTTCCTGGGTCTTGGCAGCAAGATAGCCAACCCCCAACCTGGCCCCCGGAGCTGGTGGCTTCTGTGACAGACCTGTCTATATGCCAGAGAAGCTCCTGTGTGAGGACCCGCTGCCTGTAGAGCATTCCCTGCTTGGGACACCCTAAGGATGTGGGTAGCTTATGGGCTGGGCCAGGCCTCCCCTTTGTCTCACACCTTCAGTGATGTGTACGTATTGAAACCAGCTCGTCCCTCTCTGTCGGCATCAACTTCCAGGTCACTGGGAAGGGAAGCTGCCACCACCCTGAGCTGAAGTGACAGGTGTCTGCTCCATGGGGATGCCAAAAGTTTCCCATATTCTTTTTTGGTGGGTAGAAACACTCTCACCCAGTCTGTGTTCGGGTCTCGTGCCCAAGGCCACAGGGATCTTTGCCTTGTCTCGTCTGTTAATGGTGCACAGCAGTGCTGTCAGCAAGCCCAGGACTGGCTGGGAGGGCTTGCTTGGTAGGCAGCGCTGGCCTTCCCATGCCCCCCTGCAGTGGCTCAGCAGGGACACCAGTCAGGCTTGCCATCCAGGTCAGGGATTAGGCTGTGCTCTCGGCTCTGCCAGCCCCTAAGCCCTGCCTTTTGGCCTCTTTCTCTGGCCACATCAGGCCAAGGATCAGGGGAGTTTCCCAGAAGTGCGGTAGGGGGAGGGGAAAGGGGGGCTGCCAGGCCTCTTAAGGGCTCTGTACCTGGGTGTGGCGGGGCAGGGAGGCTGGGGGGTGAGCACATGTGGCTCCCTTGCAGTAGGGACAGCCACACTACAGGGGCTTTCCTCGGGGCCTGGCTTCTCCAGCACTAGATCTCCTGCCCCTGGAACATACCCGGCAGGTTCTCCTGTTGGGGATGGCCCTGTCTTATGAGTTGCACCTCCCTGGGGTGGCCAAGTTGCCACTGCTCTCACTACTTCTTCCTCTCACGAGCCCCTTGCGATGGCTGCGACTCGGGAGCCTAGCCACGCTGGCCCTGGGCAGGTTGGTGACTACAGCCCCAACTCCCACTGCTTCCTCTTAGTACTATGCAGAGTGCCATGGCGTCATCTATGTCATTGACTCCACCGATGAGGACAGGCTAGCAGAATCCAAGCAGGCCTTTGGTGAGTGGCCTGGCTGTCCCTGGGAGGGAGGCTGGGGGAGAAGGTCGGGGCAGCTTGGGCTTCCTGTGTGTCCAGAGCTGGTCTTGGAGTGGATGGCTGGGTGGTCAGGTAGGATGCAGGTGCGAGGTGTTGCCTCTCCCGCCCTCCCAGAGAAGGTGGTGACGAGTGAGGCGCTGTGTGGTGTCCCTATCCTGGTGCTGGCCAACAAGCAGGATGTGGAGGTGAGCCCTGCACCCTTGCAGTGTGGCTGTCCCTGCTGCAATGGAGCCACATATGCTCACACCCTAACTTGCCCCGCCTGAGTGTAGAGCACTTAAGAGGCCCTGCAGCCTCAGGTCCTCTCCGAGCTTCCTTTGGAGCTGCCACCACCAGGGCAGACCTATCCCCGCCGAAGGTTTTCCCATCCCAGGGCAGGCTGTGGGTGGGCTCCCTAGCCTCTTCCTGCAGGGCACCTGCTGTCCTCTGGAGGCAGCCCTGCCCAGTTCCAGGAGTAGCTGGGCTGTGGGGACCCAGGTGGACACTGAACTCGGAGAAGGGAAGAGCTGGCCCTGGTCCTGCTGCCCTTGGGGCCAGTGTCTCTGCTCACAACCTCCCCAGAACCTGAGGGAGCTCTCAAAGTTTCCTGAGGTGATGCTGGCCACACCGACCCTTGCTGTCTCAGAGGGCCAGGGTGAGTCTTCACTTCCCACCCTCCCAGGGTGACTGTGGCCCTGGCATCTGGCCACCTCCATTGCCTGGGCCTCGGCCTTCGAGGTTCCTGGGTGGCCCCTCATTGGAGCCACTTGTGGACGTCTAGAGTTGGCTCCGGCACCAGCAGCCATGTGCAGACTCAGGGACTGAGCTCAGGGTCCTGACTGCTATGGCCTCTGTATGAGACCCTGGGGCCCTGACCAAGCTGTGTGCCATGCCATGTCCTGGGTGTCAGCAGGCAGGATGTGGGGTTGCCCCTCATAGCCTTGTCTCCCCCAGACTTGCCTGTCAATCCCTGACATCAAGACCGCCTTCAGTGACTGCACCTGTAAGATTGGCCGGCGGGACTGCCTGACTCAGGCCTGCTCTGCCCTCACTGGGTGAGTAGGGCCTCCTCCAGGGTCTCCTTGGGGCCTCGGGCCAGGGCAGCCCTACCTCACACACACTGTCTTTACAGCAAAGGGGTGCGTGAGGGCATTGAGTGGATGGTGAAGTGCGTCGTGCGGAACGTCCACCGGCCACCGCGGCAGAGGGACATCACATAGGCACGGCAGGCCGTGGCTGGGGCAGCTCGGCCCCTTGTGCCAGAGGAGCGGGCTTCCTGCCAGCTCCCTCAACGCCCACCCTGGGACGTGGGTTTGCTTTGCTTTTTGGTTCTTCCATTTGTTTTGTGTTTTCTTGAAGACAAACTTTCCTGTGTCTGGAAAAGTACAGGCGTCCAGAGGCTTCTGCAGAGGGAGTTGGGCAATGGGGCCCTCCCAGGCCCTTTCCGGGGTGGGATCTGAGGGGGACCTGGTTGGAAATGGGAGTCCCTTCCTCTGAGTGGCACTGTGAGCTGCCCCGGGGCCCTTGTGAACTCCTGGATCAGCTCCCTTCCTTGCCCAGTGAAGCCACAGCTGTGCTCTGGTCTCTGCACCCTGTGATTCTGGAAGTGGTCTGGGAGCTGGCCTCACTTTGGGAAAGACCTGCTCATGTGCCCAGAGGCCAGCTGGGTGCTGGGTTCTGACAGCCTCAGGACAGCACTGAGGAGGCCTGAGAGGAAGATGTAGCCCCATGCTGGTCCAACATTGCCTCATTTTAATCCCCAGGGAAGGGGGAAAGCTGGGAGGTCTTGCTGGGGGAGTTTTTATCAACCTGGGCAAGTTGGGTGCTGTTTGTGGGCGCCCAGAGCCCTCTGTCAGCCACGCGTGTCTGTGGCCAGCTCAGCTGGTGCCGTGGGCCCCACTGGGTGGTAGCCTGGGCACACTTTTTTGGGGTAGGTGGGGGGCCACCTATCCTACCATGGGGCCAAGGTCAGTCTTGTGCTGGGCCTGCACTGAGTTGGGGCCTCCCAGGTGCCCTTATGCTGACGGAGCAGAGGCCCTCCAAGTGAGGTGGGTTCTAGGACCGACCTCACAGCCTCCACCTGACTGGGCCAAGTGTCTGGCTATACTGGGCCAAGTGGCTGTGAGCAGTTAACTGCTGTCCTGAGTGTCCAGGCATGTGTGCACAATAAAGGCATCTCATTGGCTCCTGTCTGACCCTTCCTCCTCGTGGTCTGGGTACAGAGATGCTGGCCCTGAGCTCCCAAGGGGCTGACAGGGAGGCAGGAGTCTTTCTGGTGGGTCTGGAGCCATGGCCTGTCCAGGGAGTGGCCTCTTCAGAGGGTCAGGCTACACTACCCTGCCCCCAGAGGGCTGGGCAGAGCTGCTGGGTAGGTGTGAGTCTCATGGGGGTGGTGCCCAGCTGTGGGCTGTGGCTCACAGGAGTTGAGTGGGAGGTCCCCACACCTCCCCAGGGACCCCCAGGACCATGGGTGTGCTGGGCCTCCAACACCTGGAGGAACCTGCCTGGGTTGGGAGGGGAGGGTTGTTCTGGATGAGTCTGGAAAAGCCTTGCTTCCCAGAAAACACATGGGGTGCAGGGTCTGGGGGAGGTCTTTGGCTCGTCCTCTCCTGGGAAATTCCCTGAGTTGGGAGTGGGAGGGACTCTGGGTGGGGAGGAAAGGGGACGCGTGGGTGCCCCCAGCACCAAGGCCAACGGAGCTGTGCTCTCCACTCTTCAACACAGTGACACCCTCCTGGGCACTGACCATCCCTCCACTCTGCCCCAGCAACTGAGTGGGATGGGGCGTCTTGGAGTGAGCTTTCGGGACTCCTGCCACCTCACGGCCAGCAGGCGGCCTCGGAGCAGCACCCACCACCCACTGCCCACTCTTGAAGTCCAAGTGTCCAAGGGAGGGGAGCCTGAGCCGGCGGGGGGGGGGCTTCCTGCCTGTGCATCCCCGCTGCCCTCCCCAGAGATGCCCAACACGCGCTAGCTTCAGAAACAGCTTTATAAAAATAAACTAAGAAGCCTGCGGTGCAGACCGCCGAGGGTGTGGAATAAATAACGAGATGCTCAGCGCGCGGGAAGGAAGCGCTCGCGAACGCCCCGCTCCAGCCCGGGTAACCTGGCAGCGCGCAGCGCCTGCAGCAGCCGCGCCACCAGCAAGCCGTC